CCCCCCCCCCCCCCCCCCCCCAACTCTGAATTGGAAGCAGCTGGTCCTCATCCCGGCGTGTAGACGCCACTGTTACGATTAAAATTTGATATACTCTTCCTGTTAGAACATTTCAATTATTAGTCTATCAGTGGAATTTTGTTCTTCTACAATATCCAGAAGGAACCAAATATTTAATAGGGAAGTATTTAAAAGGTTATTAAGGGGTGCATACAGATCAGGAAAAACAGCTTCATTCATTAAAATTTTTAATGCGGGGTGGGGGGGGGGGGAGATCACTGGGTTTGACTTTGCAGTGCTATTCCTGTATCCTGCCCCCTCCCGTTGAGGGTTGTGTTAGCTAGTGAAAAGATGTGTTGCATGACTTTTTGAGGCCTCCTCTACTTTTTGGTTTTGTGCTCCTTGCATTTAGAGTTGATGTTCTAAATATTTTCCCACATGACACCTTTGTTAGGCTTCTTAAATCTCCGAGCCTGCAGGGGATTTGTGACGGCTCTGGTACTCTGGTGTATGACTCTATTTAAAATACACAAACAGGGGTGTCATTTCAGGGTGCCCTACCCAAATGACGTCCCTGTGCGCAACCCCAACCGTAAAGTAGTTTGAATTTAATTTTTTTAAATAATCAATCTTAATCTTCCAAAATATTTTTTTTTTTTTTTTTTGGATCCATGGACCACGTGATACGTCCTCACTACAAAGGATCAAGGTTAGGTTTTATACAATCCCAGGTGTAAAAACCAAGGAAGAAAAAAAAAAAAAAAAAAAAAAAAAAAAAAAAAAAAAGAAGAAAAAAAAAAGAAAGAACGACAAAAGATAAGACCCAATGCTCTTAATGACTTTTGAAAATGTGTGTTTTTTTTTAAATTAGAAAAACAACATATTTCCACTTTATGACAGTTTAAAGATTCTAAGATGCATAACCATACATAATAGAGTCATAAAGTTAACACATTGAAAAATGGTCGCACATATAGGGCTTCCGAGTTTGATCTCTAGCGTGGGTTACGGTTGGATGTTCTTGACTGTAGGCTTAATTTTAAGTTTAAGAATTATAAGTCTATATTATAAACTGCAGTTAAACCAAATGCTCAGTTTGTCAATGCCATTAATACATTTATTGAGAAATGGGTTTTGGGAGATAACATTTTTCAAACAGTTTTAACCTGTTTTTTTTTAAATTAGGAATCCTAGATTTACTATTATGAGGTCATGATGACGTCAAGAAGGAATTTCCCTTTATCTCCCGAAATAGTAGGCGGTGTTGACAGGGAAGTGATTCACTGTGGCTTCCACTAAACATGGCGGAACGACAGAGAGCACGGTTAGTGGAGTTAACCCTTCAAGATGGAAACCAAGACTGTGCCGATTGTGGAGACAAAAGTAAGTAGGAACCATATTTACAATTGTTCTTAAATTAAGTAAAGCTACTAGCCTAAAATAAAATATATTGAGACAAAGATGTTTTTTTTTTTACTTTTACCGTTTTGCTCGATTCCTGATCAGGAGGATGATTTAAATTTACAATATACCCAATGACAATGCCTATGCCTATATTTAAGTTAAAATTTCCGTGTAATTGTCTTACTTGTTCTTTTAACATACTTAACACTTTGCTTGATAATAATTTAATCACTTCCCTGTCAACACCGCCTACTATTTCGGGAGATAAAGGGAAATTCGTTTAATTAATGATAGTTACTTCAGCTGTGAACTTGTAAACTTTATTACTTCACTTTTGCTTTTATTTACCCAATTATTGGCTTTTATGCCTGCCTCAGGGTGCCTCATTAATGAAAATGAATGAGAATGATTGATCATTTGATGGAAATTTCCACTTTAACTTTCCACTTCATAAGTTAAGCCTCAACATTTCTATATTGACTGCTCCATGTAATCTTTCTGTTGAGTGTTGAGCCAAGCTACTCAACATTTCTTTATTAATATTTATTGACTACTCCATGACATAGTCATTGAATTGATATGTGATCCTTCTTTGCTATGATGAGTGCCCCTATGACTATGATGAGTATGACTCATATTGGCATTGTAAATATAATGTATTGCTGAGGCCTAGACCTTCATGTTAGCCTGTCTTTAAAAAAAAAATGTTAAGATTGACTCACATTGACAGAAAAGTTTAAAAGTACACTCACTTAAGTCTTAAGTACTTATTTGTAGTACACTGGCACCGGCCCACTTATCTTAAAAATTAGACAAGTCTAACATGGACTAAAGTGTCTAAAGTAAAGAGTAAAGTGAGGACCACTGACTTTGTAAGTGAGCTGGAATAGGCCACTATAAGTTATTTTATACTATAATTATAGTGTAGACCAGGGGTCGGGAACCTATTGCTCGCGAGCCAGATGTGGCTCTATTGATGGCTGCATCTGGCTCACAGGCAAATGTTTGATTATTTAAAAAAAAGTCGCATTAATGGTAATACATACACATTATTGATAGTAACAGAATAGTAATGTTATTAAAAATAATTCAGAGACATAATTATTGCATTTTTAGTGTTGAAATTACACAAAATGCACACATTTACTTGAATTTTTAGTTTTAAACATAATGTATGGCTCTCACGGAATTACTTTTCAAAATATGTGGTGTCCATGGCTCTCTCAGACAAAAAGGTTCCCGACCCCTGGTGTAGACCTAAGTAACAAGCTAATTATTACAACTAGCCTATAAAGGCGGTTATTATATTATCATTATGGGGTAAATAATTTTATGAGATCCGTTAAGTTTTAAATTTTATATACCTTTACACTATTTAAACTTACTACTAGTAATAGCTTAGTTCTCCAGGATTTTGGACATTGACTCTGCATTAGTCTTCTCTGGAAGTGCAGGCATTACATGTTATATTATCCGTGCTGCATGTTAGGTTTACATTTTAAACTATCTTCAGTACAAGGAATCCTATCCTTTCTTTAAGGGTGACCTTCATCCCCCAGGCCCAGAGTGGGTTTATACTTTAAACTATCTTCACTCCTAACTATACCCACTCAATAATAAATTCAGGCACCTGCTGTGTTAGGCCTTGACAACATATCAACTGGCCCTTTTGTTTGTGTAATGTAAAGGGTGAGTGGATTACTCAGGTGCTCTTTTTTGTTTTAGTATTAGTTAAGTGCTCTACACTACAATACTCACTACATTATAAGACATTACTCTACTTTACCCTTGATTTAAGTTAACATAAACAAAATAGTTTGCCAAAGAACTAGCTCCTTTAGTTGGTTGTTTGCTCTGAATTATTATAAATAAGTTAAAGTGAATAAACCTAATCTCTAGATGAGTGCCTGTGGAAAGGTTCATCATTTCTAGTGTTTTAATCATTTATCTAAAACATTTCCCCACTTGTTAGCTTTACTTTAAGGGAATTATAATAAGTGAAACCTGAAATATAAATATATTTAAAAAGATAATATATTAAAACCTAATTACCGGCACACCCGGAAGTGATAATAACATTTTAAACAATTTGTTATGATAATTTGTGTGAATGCACTTGAGCCATGATTATGTTATCAGTTCCCAGGGCTTAAAGAATGATATCACAAGCTAGGGACTATTTAAAAACACCACCTATTAATAATTTAGCAAAAAAACTTGATAGCAGAAAAAGAAACCAAAACACCTTTTGATTTTGTTATAGTACTGATAGTATAGTCGTCAATAATTCAATATGTCAACAGGGAAATATTGTTTTAATAATTGAACTGTAATGCATATAATAATAATATTTAAGAATAGTGGAAACTACACATAAATACAGTTGGCAATGTTTAGGATCACATGTATATATGTATTTCAATTAAATTATAAATTTAATACACACTTTGATACTTTTATACAATAAAAGTATTGAGGCGCTCTTTAGATAAGTCAGTTTGAACACAGTGCTTATGCTTTTTTTATTTTTAAAAAGTCTTTAGGTTTTTTCTTTAATTTTGGACACACCCTCAAAAAGGTTGTGGTGCTTCCTACCATTAATTGAGATCATGGGTCTACTTTGACACACATCATTGCCGAGTGTTTAACTTGAGCCTGTTCATGGACATGATGAGCTTTACTGATATACACAACATTACTGAGTTTTAACTTGAACTATTGACATGGCATTTACTGAGATTTACCCATTGCTGAGTGTTTAAGTTGACCCCAAGACATCAGAGAATTCTGTGATATGAGTATAGAAAAATAAATGAATCTGTTATCACAATTTCATAAAAAAAATGCAAAGCTAGAGGGGAAAAAATGTCTTATTTCTATTAATAATCCCCATCCTATTTTTACTGTTTGAGGCCCCCAGTTTTTGAAAAGAAGCCTTTATGTATATAAATGCTCTAAAAATATCATGTTGCGGGACAACATTGTAATTTAATGCTGCACTTTGGACGCTCAGTTTTCAGGTTTTCTCTAATCCATACTGAAGTGACTAATATTTGTGAGCACAGGTGAACGTGATTATTATAATTGACAGTTATAAATACAGTTGGCAATGTATAAGATCTCACATATATATGTTATTGCACCTATGTATTTCAATTAAATTATAAATTTATACACACTTTGATACTTTTATACAATAAATGCTTTTGTTCTCTCTCCCCCCCCCCCCCCCCCCTCGTAATCTTTATATTATTACCATGTTATACTTGTTTGTAGGATTTGAATTGATAGAAGTTGTGATAAATGTGAAGTTAGACAACAAATTTACAATAAAAAAATATGATAACAAAAAAACAACACATTTTTTTCATTTCTTCAGAGAAATGAATGTAAAAATGCATTTATTAGCAGTTATAAATTAGTTACATTTCTGAAAGCACAAATTAATCACTTTGCATATGAAATACTTTCTCAAATTTTGATTTAGCTCAGAAATGGTCATTTTATTTTACATACTTTGTTTACAGTATTTATATGCATCAACAGATGAGGCGCTGTGTTTATAAATATAAAGTATATTTAAAAATCTATTCTGATGATTATGTAATGCTGTACTTACCATTTCTCAGATCCTGACTGGGCATCATGCACTATTGGTGTGTTCCTGTGCCAGACATGTGCTGGCATCCACAGAGGTTTGGGATCATCAAACAGTCGAATCAAGTCAATCCATCTAGACAACTGGGACAAAGACCAAGTACAAGTAAGCGCATCCAGCTATCCAAGCTACACATCTAGATTCTAAATGTGTGCATTCTAACTCATCAAAAGAGCTCTCCTAAAAAAGAATTCATTTTAAAATAAGTTTTTGTAATCAATCAAATTGATTATATAGCTTAGTTGATTTATACCAAGCATATACAATAGTGGCCTCTTAGTAAACAAGAACTCCGGTACATATTTGTTGTCTTCTATCCTTCAGGTTATGGAGATGATAGGGAATATAAAAGCCAAAGACAAATATGAGATGTGTGTTCCACCTTACTACAAGAGACCAACTAGTCAGACCGTTGAGTAAGTCCATTTTAAAATTAAAAAATTAGTTTGTATTTAGCTTAACCATGTATTTATTCAAACTCTCTCCCGTCTAGCCTAATTTCAATGTTATCATTTCATCTGCCTTAGGCAAGGTATGTAACTTCTTTTGGACACATGCCTTTGTGTTAAAAAAAGAAATAAAATATACAAAAATAAAATATTATTGTTTTGAGAGAAATTAAATGATAAATAATAAGATAAAAATTATAATTATATGGACAGTTGAACTTTGATGCATTAAATTATAATTACTGCTAACATCTTTGGCATCATCTACCAATGTAGTAGTACCAATTTCATATCTCATTCAGTCATCTCTAACCATGTAGCATCAGTAACACTTTTGCATGAAGTTCAATAAATTCTACATCAGGTTTTTTTTTCAATAGTTTCATCAACTAAGCTTGCTATTAAACTTCTCAAGAGCTTGGAAAGCCATGTTAAATAATCTAATCAGGATTTCTCTATAACAATGAGCCACGTCTTGGGAAGAATATCAGTAAACTTTGTACTGTCATTTTAATGTTAGATTTATTTCTTGAGAATGTGTACACTCGGTTCTATAAAGTTGCAATGTAATGTTTTGTCTTCAAGCATTGAGGTGTACATTCTTATTTATTTAAGCATCAATGTATATCTAAAGATGCTGCTCTTGATTAGTTTGTGAATGTTTTTTTCACAGTGTATTAAAAAAGGAATGGATTATGGCCAAATATCAGAGGTTGGAGTTTACGGACACAGACAGGCAAGATGCTTACAATGTGTCTCAGAAGTCAGGGCTGCTTTGGAAACTTGGCAGGGATAGAAAGCAGTTTGCCCAAAGGAGATTTGTGCTGTCTAGGACAGAGAACAAATTATATTACTATGTCAATGAAGAAAATGGAAAGGTGATTTTATTAAATATTTCCAATTATTTTAATTCCAATACTGGGACACTAGGCTCCACCGTCTTCTTGATCCAAGATAGGGCAGCCACAGACTTCATTTCTCTTCTTATGTACAGTTATATGGTTTTGTAAATTTAGTCTGATATGGCTCGTTGGATGAACAATATGTAACAAAAGAGTGAAAACCAGTTTACAAAGAAAAATGATACCAAAGCTAATGAAATTAACAATATTCAATTTAATTATACTGTTTTTATATAAAAATAAAAAATCAAATATACAGGAAAAAAAACTTTATTAACCTACAACAAGTGGAAAAAGTATAATTCTTGAAAAGTACTAAACTTAATATGTTGTTGTTCATCAGTCGGGAGTCGACCATGACCACTTTAATCATCAGAGTTTGTGCTGGTTCTGTCTGTGGGTGAGCAGATGGCTAATGAGGCCGATTCTGGCACGAAATTCTCTTGTGCAATAGGTGCAGGGGAATGATGGCACATCCCCGGGAGCAGAGTCAGACAGGGCCTTCCTGGCATGTCTCTTGCGCTCTGCAGCCGCTGTTCTGCCAACTTCATGTTGCATGGAGCTCCTGTGCAAAGTGGAACGCCATGAAGTTTGATCCTTTGCCTGTTCCTCCCACATGTCTGGGTTTATGTTGAACGCTTTCAGTGAGGCTTTTATGTTGTCTTTAAAGTGGTTTTTTCTGTCCGCCAGCAGACAGACCGCTTTCCTTGTTCAAGCTCACCATAGAAATTCTTTTGGGAAGACGGTCATCTGACATTCTCACAACATGTCAGATCATCAAGATTGTGAAGATGCTGGGGAGACCTGCCTGTGTTAGCACCTCAGTGACTGGGACCCTGTCCTGCTATTTAATATAGAGGATTTTTCTGAGTCTTGTTGTATGAAAGTGGTTCAGCATTCTTGCATGGCGTTGGTAGACCGTCCACGTTTCACAGGCATAGAGAAGCGTAGGGAGAACAGCCGCCTGATATACCTTCAGTTTTGTTTCAGTGTTGATACCTCTCCTGGTCCATATGTTCTTAGTCGATCTTCCATAGGTTGCACTGGCCCTTGCAATACGGAGGTTAACCTCATCATCGATGGTTGTTCTTTGGTACAGTGTGCTGCCGAGATAGGAAAAGCCTTTCACCACCTTAAGTCTTTTGCCATATACTTGGATGTTTGGCTCAACATAAGGGCTTCGAGGAGCTTAATATACACCCACACACAAAGAGTAAAATCTTGTAAGGCTCCTATAAGTTTATTAAGTTCCATCCCTGTCTTGGAAATCTAGCAAATCTCTTCTGGCTTGGAATGCTGCTGACTTATTTGCTATGAGAGAATTGGCATCAACCCGAAAAGAAATTCTTGAAATTGCATCACCCCATCACATTCTTTACCTTTCAATCACAAAAAATGCGAACATAAAACAACCTTTACCCAATCAAGGAAGCATTGGCTAGTAGCAGAGCGCTACACATTTTTTCGAAAATGTCAATGTCAAAACAAAAAGGGGGAGGGAGGTAAGATTGCATGTCACTGCTTGTGGTGAACAGACTTTAACACTCTGAAGTTATACAACAGCTTTGTAAACATTTGATCATATATTGAAGCTTTGGGATGACGTCACTAAATCAAAAAAGGGAACTGCTAGTGTAGGTTCATTTGTAAACAAGTTGTGAGATTATTGAGATCAATTATTTAGTTTTACCGTACATAAAATCTCAAATAAACATATTCAATATTTTTTCTTCAGTATTTTTGCTGACAAATGCATTAAATAGCTACTGGTACACAGTAACATTTCAAGGAAACACAATATCACCCTGATCAAATTTTATAATGTGGAAATCTCTTGTGGAAAAAATAAACAACATGCTGCCATTCTCAAACATTATTATTTTCATGTTGTGAGGCAATGTGCTCCATCTCCTTGTTCATTTATCTATTGTAGTCTAGCCAAACTTAGTTTATGTTATATGTTTAACTGCTGGGGAAGGTTTGGGGAAGGTTTTTACCCCGATGTCCCTTAATTTAAATGATAAGATCAGATAGATTTTTTTTTCTGTTTACCAGTACATCAATTGTGTTAGATCTGTCAGAGTAGTGCGCCTGCTATAATTTATTTACTATCTAATGTCATAATCATGGACAGTGAATACTTTCTTAGGGTAATATTGTGTTGGATAACGCTATATAAAAAAAGTATGGATTATTTGTTGGCTTTTGTTAACAGAAGAAAAATGTTATTTTCTATTTTCAGCAAAAGCAACCAAAAGCTGAAGCAGATCTTGACTTTTTGAATGCGGTCTTTGTTCCTGAAAAAATTGGAAATCCTTTTGGTCTTCAGATAACTTACTTTAAAAATGGATCCACCAGAAATTTGTTTGTTTACTCTGAAAACTCTAAGGTACGTGGGTTCTTAACGTCAGCTTGACCACATCTCCATGATCTATTTTCAATTTCCTTGTACTTATTAAATACTGGCTTAGCCCTCCAAGCAATGTCGTCTGCTATGAGTGAACTTCCCATCTACTGAAGTTACTTGAAAAAACATGCATTCAAGTTACACACTTTATAAGTTTCCCAATTAGTGTTAACACCACCCCGCCACCCCCATACGCCACCGTCCCTGAACTATATTAATATTCTAATGTCCCGCCCATTTTTACAAGGCAGGTTTATTACACCAACTGTTTCCCTAAAGCAAAAGAATATATTAAGTACCAAACCCACTAAGAATCTCATTGAGCGCAGTTAACAGGAATGTTATTTAGTGAAATGGGTGTGATCTGGTAGAGTAAGTGAATATGTTACATAGAGAATTATTTACCAGTATTTTTATTAAATGGAGGTCCAATATCGCCTGCATTTATTTTTTTATCTCCAAAAGTCATACTCTAATTGATATTTTGCATGTGTATCATGTAGCTTTACTGGCAAACTTTTTTATTTGATTTAAATGTTCAGATTTGAAAAAACTTGAATACTGTCCAAAATATTTAAAATGCCAAGTTTAACTTGAGAAATTGATAAAAACTTCACCAAGCTGAGAATTATAATAATTCTGTTTACTTTTGTTTTGTCTCCCAATAAAAAAAGTATAATGTATTAATGTTAAAAAGTATTTTGAAAGTTAGCTCATCTAATAGTTATGCCTTTAAGTAAGTAAGATTGGAATTGATGTAAAAATGATGTGTCCATGTTTGCAGGAGATTGTAGACTGGTTCATGTGTATCAGGGCAGCCAAGTGGGAGAGGAGAAGAATTGCCTTTCCCGACAGAGATCTGACACAGGTAATACCATCACGTCAGCTATTGGTTATTAATAAGGGTGTTGCTAAACTTTCTTTGTCTGTGTGTGTTTGGGAAGAATCAATCTTGATATGATTTTTTTTTCTTCTCTTAGCTTGCTGAGGATTTAACTAAAGATTTTCTCATGGAAGGCTGGTTGAGTAAAATGGGACCAAAGAATGAACCCTTCAGACGCAGGTGGTTCACTTTGGATCGCAGAAAGCTTATGTATTTTGAAGAACCTTTGGTGAGAATAACCTTTTGTTTTTTCTCATATATAGTCATAAACGGTTTGTTTACTTTTATTATTTTATTTTAAACGTTTTTTTTTTAAGACGTGTACTATTTTATTTTTGTGTGTGATAAATATGTGTATTAATATTTTCAAGGGGTTGGCTGACGCCACTGAGTTTCAATAACATGGGAGGTACTGAATATTTTAATAGTGAAATGCCATTGTTGGTCTTCAACAATGAATTAAAATAACAAAGAGCAAGATCAAATGTCTTTATTTCAGAATGCTTTTGCCAAAGGGGAAGTATTCATTGGCCACAAAGACGGAGGTTACAGTGTGAGCACGGGAAGTGAAGAAGGTGATCGGGGTTCTAATAGCCAGAACACCAGTAGCTATTGCTTTACTCTCAACACACCCGACAGGAAGTTTGTTCTGCGGGCAGAGACTCAAGATGACATGCACAAGTGGGTAATGGCAATGCAGAAGGTTGTGGAGATGCCCCTGACAACCCAGGACAGTAAATGTGAGTGCTGTGTATGATCTAGATGTGTGCTTTGTACGATCTGCTTTTGTTATAGAGAATCCAATGAAGCCAACTCAATTCATCTTGGTATTCATTGGTGCACTTGACACCCAGAGACACTGTCTTGACTGTCTTCATTTTACTTTGAACTTCCATACTCCAATCTTCAAACTCTTAGCCTGTCTTCTGACTGTCTACTTCGCTCTCTCCTTCACTCTAACTAACCTCGGCATGTCTGTGCTCAACCATCTAATTAATCGCTAATTGACTACCCGAATCTGTAGAGACCTAAATGGATTTTGTATAGCCATATATAATTATCTTGTACAGCAGGAGTCTGCAAACTTTTTTTTTAGCCATTACCCCAAAATATATTTGTTTATGTTGATGTTTAACACCACCCCACCCCCTTGATTTGTAAGGAAGACATCCACAGACTATTTAAATTCAAAATTGCTTATTGAATCTGTTTAAACGGAGACTACAATGATAAAGGTACAAAATACATTTGATAAAATAATTAAATAAAAACCTAATCATGGAACAAAAGGATTTCTTTGAAAAAAATGTTCACTTCAAAATTTTTAGAAATGATGTTTCAAAGAAATTTAAATACGGTCTTTGGGGTTAAATAATTGATTTCTTGTTATGTATTTATGTTCATTAGAGTGAGGTACCCTTGTTCGCAAAATTAAGTTATTGCATAAGGCAGAAACTTTTTGAGTGCCTCCTAGTGAAAAATTTTGAAAACCTCGACGTTTTGAGCATAAGCAGTAGCGTTTTGCAGGGGTATCAATAGCACCTGGGACACCCTCACAGGGGGATGACATCGAATGAAATACAGTAAATGTGACAGAGCTCAATCAAGTTGGTTTCATCACACATCTAAAATACAAGAGCAGGGGCCACCAAAGTAGGTTGCAATAAGAGGAGGGTGCTACTAGAGTAGGTTGCCGTAAGAGTAGGTTGCCATAAAAGGATGGTGCCACCAGAGTAGGTTGCCATAAGAGCAGGGTGCCACCAGAGTAGGTTGCCATAAGAGCAGGGTTTCACCAGAGTAGGTTACCATAAGAGCAGGGTGCCACCTAAGGCCAACTCAGAGGAAGTCCGTGGTAAGATTTCCATTTTTAACCCATTTGTGATAATTGACCCCAGTTGGCCGAGCACTGTTTCACAGACAAGTAAGCATATTATTCCCATGGAAGGAGTCAAGCAAATAAAGTCTTGAGGTTGATAAATTCTTGCCTATCTACATCATCCATTTTCTATCTTCAGAAAGAAAGCATTTCAATGTTGAAATTTCTATTTTCAGTGGCTGGTTTACTAGTGCCCAAGAAATCCTCCAATTCTTTCCGTCTCATCAAGCGGTAGATGTTTCCTGACTGAGGGCAGTCCGAATATTTGCTCAGGACAAATCTAGTGATGTTCCAGCTAAAGGATTTGTTTTATACTTCCTAGCACTGTGGAGCAGCAGAGGGGCATTTTGTAGGACAAAAATTGGGTCAGTTTTTCACCTATAGGTGAACAGTGGGAGCTTGGTTGTTGACCGAATTCTAGTCTTGAACTTTTGACAGAGGTCAAAGAAATATTATCACAGGATAAAATTGAATTTATATTATCTAAATATTTCAGAGCATACTAATGTGCTCTTCCCTAGTGTAAAAATCTCCCTTAAATTGATAAGGAGGAACATGAAATGTATGTGATTATTTCATGACTGTATCAAATTTATTAATTTTTTGGGGGGACAAAGAGTTACTGGTAACCTAAATATAAGTGAACATTCATTCTCTGTACAAACACTCATCATTTTGCCAGCCAGAGATATTTGTTGACCAGCCAATATCATCTATTAGGTTGTCACTGAGATTAGTCTGTTTTCCACTTCTTTTTAAACTTTTTTTGTTTGTTTGTGTACATAAGAAGAGGCTGGAATCTGATATTGCATTCATCATTACCTTGTTCATAATATATTTAGAGTTGTCTTGTTTCTGTGTAAAACTGAGTCGTTTCCGATTATAAAACAAAAAAAATTACCTTTTTATTCAAAGTTTTTATAAAACCAATATTTATGTTGATGTTCAAAATATTTGCTTATATTTTCTTGACCAACATTCCTGAAACAAGTGAATACACCAAGGAAAAAGTCTTTTAATCTAACATCAAACTTCATTTGACTGTACCCATGTCTCGTTTGTTTGTAATAACTTATTCATAATGACAAACAGAACTCCTTCAACTTGTTATTCGGTCGCATGGATACTTGCCACACATATTGACTGATTTCTGAGGTCAAATAGATTATAAATATATTTATAATGAGGTCAAAGTTTTGACGATCACAACGTGTAAAATATTTCTGTATTGTTGGGTCTGTTGACCTGAAAGTTTAATGAATAAATGAAACCGTCTTCATGTCTTACTTAAATCCATTTATACACGTTAGTTTTAGCCTTGACCTCTCCGTGATAAATAAACTGTCAAAAGGTAGAATGTTAACAACATAAGCTTGTTTCTGTTGACGTGACTGCTCTGTACTTGTCTTTTAATTGTTGCCACTGTAGGTCTTGAAAATGTGCAACATCAGACATGTGAGGAGCTTGCTTTTAATCTTGCAACTTATGTATGCTAATAAATATAAGAATGTTATAGCCCAAAAGAACGGTGCATTTTCTTAAAAGCCTGTTTTGTTGCTATCAATGTATACATTATGTCGGGCCAGTCCATTGATGATCTAATATTATTTGTAATTTGTTCAATTATGTACACTATTATTTGTTAATTCATGTACACTATTTTTATTTGATATGTGGCAAAGATATTTTTTTCTGTACTTTCTCTTTCATGTTTGGTGAAGCAATATGTGTACTGTACTGCAGCCAATTGATATAGCTATATGATAGTGTACTATACTGCAGCCAATTGATAAAGCTATATGATAGTATACTATACTGTAGCCAATTGATATAGCTATATGATAGTGTACTATACTGCAGCCAATTGATAAAGCTATATGATAGTATACTATACTGTAGTCAATTGATATAGCTATATGATAGTGTACTATACTGCAGCCAATTGATACAGCTATATGATAGTGTACTGTACTGCAGCCAATTGATATTGCTATATGACTATATGATATTTGGTTAAGAGTGAATGGTGGGACCAATAACTACATCAAATTATTGCTGTTACAGAGAAATTCTAACTTCGAGAGATGGGTTGCCATTTCAGCCGGCGTGTAGATTTCAAAATAGAAAATAAATCTTTTACTTTTAGCCTTAAGAAATAATTTGGGGAACAATTTTCTATACCAGTACATCTCAATTTTATTACGGTTATTTATTTTGAAAGCTAGAACAGTCTTTAAATTACAGCTTTTTAATTTTGCTATTTTTTCAGTTTTTTAATGAATATCAATAATATCATTGCCATAACTATTTAAGTGAAATTTTAACTGTGGATTGTAACAAGTTTTCATAAATTATGTTGTGTGCAGATTTGCATTACCATAAGAAATCTTAGAGCTGTATTCATTTGAAAAGAATCCATTTATTGGGTTGTAAATATTATTAATTATGCTGTATAGTTGCTATAGTAAGAGTTGTTAAATGGGTTAATGACCAAATGGGTTAATGACCAATGCTTGTTAAAGTCTGTGATGTCACTGTGAATGATAAACAAGTTGATTCTATTTAATTATTGGAACCTGCAGTGCATTTGTTTTATAGCAGACCTGCGGTTAATGTTGTATGTTAATTGGGATCATTGTCTCCATTATCTCACCACACAGTAAAATGCTCTTGACTCATATTTTAGGCTAGGAGAAATGTCCAAATTTGTATTTTGATTTTGAGGATTTTAGAAAAAAAATCCAAATAAGTTTTCATTGGGTATTTTTCCTTATTTTTTTTCCCCTTAAACTTTTGTGTTCTTAAAGGAAATACAATAAGATCTTTTTTGATAATATTTAAAGCATCAAGTGTTCATCGCCAGGCTTTATATTAAAACATTCTCAGCTATCGGTTCATTCTGTCATATGACAATTACTCTTATGTCACATGATCTTCAACGTCATTCTCTCACATGACCAACAAGTTTTAAAAAAATATTTATCTTCTATTAGCTATGAACCTTTGGTTTTTGTGAAATATAGAAAACAAGCCAGAAGCAAAATATGGGTAGAAAATTTACTGACAATATGTGGGATTATATGAAATTTATTTGAGGTTTAATCTGTCTAATGTAGACCAGTATGGTTAGCAAGTGATGAGTGAAGTAAGGAATTGAGCTAAATGGTGAAACATGAGATAGATAAATGTTCCATTTCTGCTCTAGTCCCTTAACGCATTGTTCTATATATCATTCTGCATTAGGTGTTATTTATAGTTCTGTGTATAGATCTATATATATTCTCAAAATAGCTCTATGTATAGCTCTATATTAGGTTCTATGTATGGTCTTTAAAGTCATATATGCCAGAAAAGACATAATAGAAAAAATGATTTCTTGTGGCCCAGGATGTGATTGTTGTAATATATGTCTTATATTACCGATGCAATTAAGCATTCAACCCAATTGGTACCCGGTATATGAGTAATTTTGGTAGTAATTTTGCAACCTTATTATGTATTGATAAAAGTCACCGCCAACCATTACCCAGCCCTTGCACCCAACTGGGATATATTTTGGCTTTAACCCATTTTTAGACTTCTTTTGTAGTAAGACTTGAAGATGGATAGCTTGCTTTTAAGAGCTTTTAAAAAGTTTTACTTTGCAAATCTTCTGTGCCTTGCAATACTAAGTCCCTCAGTGCTGCTTTCAACTTGTGGCTGTCTGCTTTTAGCTTTTACTTGCGTGTATTCAATTGTCATGGTGGGCCCAGAATTGATGCAAGCAAGCAGTATGCCATTTGTTTTACCACATATGAGGTAGAAAATGTGTTTCATTGAGCGTCACCTGAAACTAGTCTCAATATAGCAGGAAATGTGTGATTTTTTTTTCTAGACCATGTCCCAATTGACAGCTTTACAGTAAACTGATGTTGCTTATTGAGACCCTGAGTGGTTTTATGTAAGCAGTACTACATGGTTTAGTCAATCCCATATGCCTTGGTGAATCTGTGACAGGTTTTACGTTTTTACACAAGTTTGTTTCTACCGAAAATCTGCTGGAATAGGGGTATTAGGTGGGTGTGTGTGCGTGTGTCTGTCAAATGCCATAAATGTAGGATGTTTTTTCTTTCAACATTTTCTTTCAATTATTTTCCATATAAACATAACTATATTTATGATCACTGAGAGATTCTTATTAAAACATTGTGTACATATATTGTGAAAATATTGCTAAGAAAATAGAATTAACAACTCATCTGGACTGAAGTAGTGGGGCTAATTTTTAAGGTTATCAAACTGACTTGTTGGGCAATAATTTGTAACTTATGGCACTCTAAAGAAAATAATAATTAAAATTCCGCGACACCATGAGATATTTAAAACAAATATCTTCAGTTTCATTGAGGAACAGAACCCAATCAAATTATTATGGATTACCCGGTACATGATGATAGGTGACTTATCAGTAAAATGTTGTAAACATAATTTTACATTGATTTTTATTGCTTTTTATCAAAATCTTAATACAAAGTTTTAACTTTTCTGGTGTGTTTGAAAAGCACTGTGTTGGACTAAGTAATCTGACAACTACATTGTTAAGAGAAAAGTAATGAAAGTAAAAAATTAATGAATAAATTGCCTAACATTTTTTATTTCTTATCATACCTGTACTACTGAATTTTTCTTCCAAATTTGGTGGCATTTCTAAAACTTGCAATTTGTGCACTCACACTCCTATTCAACGTATGCACATACAAGTTTCATGACATAACTAAAAATGTTATTGCTCGCAACTCTTCAGAAATGATTTGCTTATGCATATTTACGGTTGTGGACCAATATCTATGGATTAGGGTTGTATTTATTCTTAAGTCTAAAATATTCTGCAATACTTCCCTGGTCGCAGTGTGAAAGTAAACTTTAAAATAGTCAAGTAAACAGTACTTGGTATTTGTTTAATTCGTACAAGTTACATTTAATGTGACTACAATTTTACTTTTTGTTGAGATTATCACTCGGTCTCGTGTGGAGTTTTTTTTGTGTGCAATACAACTTGTCCTAAGGTGGGGCATCATTTTCTTCCATTGTTTTCACCCCTCATCTAAACTGAAAAGTAGTAAATAAGATCTATAAGTTTTTAAAGTTTAACTGCGAATTTTAATGTGTGACTGGTTCAATGATCTTTTACAAAGAATGTGTCGCAGTTTAACTCAAACAAGCCTTCAAAATCTCTTGTCAAGTTGGGTTGTAGGTTGTCCAGATTTATGATTAACCGCAAGATTGATTGGAAATTCTCTGCCTGTGCAATTAAAAACTGGTTGGAATTTGTCTTGTGTTTGTTATAATTTGGTGAAATTTAAGATGTTCCCTTTATTTTATTTAATACATTCTTCATATTAAGGAAATGATTTTCCTTGTTGCTTCAGTTGTCTCACTCGTCCGTCAAGTAAAAATCAATTTTTGTTTCAAACTAAATATTTTATCTCCAAAGTCATACAGTTCTTGATAGATCACAAGCTAAAACGTTCGCTTGCAAGAATGGCAACTCATCCGTAAATAATATCTTAGCTGGATCTTAGATTTAAGGAACAGAACACATCATGATTGAGCCGACTTGATCCCAGCTGTGCAGCTCCTGTAGATTTTACTGTACAGTTTTGCTGATGAATACATAGCTTGTATGCGTTTAATTATTTGGATCTGTAAGAAATAAAAGTTATTGTAAATAGCAACATATTGTTTGAACTTATTACTTATTGACTGTGTGTTTGCTTTCAATCATCAATACCATAAGTTTATCAATATCTCTGATTAAAAAAACAATAATTTCATAACCAAAAGTAGAACATTTTAAATTGCAAAATTCGTATTTAATTTTGTAACTGCACAGAGCTTTGTGTCATATTAAAGACACTAATTGTATAACTGCACAGAGCCTTGTGTCATATTTAAGACACTAATTTTATAACTGCACAGAGCCTTGTGTCATATTTAAGACACTAATTTTATAACTGCACAGAGCCTTGTGTCATATTTAAGACACTAATTTTATAACTGCACAGAGCCTTGTGTCATATCTTATAAACTACTCAGAGCCTTGTGTCATATCTAAGAGTTAGAGTCTACATTTCTGAGTTATTGGAGATGGACATCATGGGAGACGTGTATATTAATGTTTAAAAAAAGGGGGAGATTTAAGTTTAACAAAACAAAATATTTACATTCCCTTTGAATACTTTGTGGGTAGGCTAGGTCACGACCAGGTTACCTATACATAAATTGAAAATTGTAGAGTTGGACTCGCACTTGAAAGCATGAAAAAAAAAGGCTTTTTCGTTCACTGAGTTTTCACTGTATAAAATGATCAATAGAACTAGTACTATTCGCAGTGGCGTAGCTGGGGGGGGGGGGGGCGGGCCCGCCCGGGGTTACACCAAATTGAAAAGTGGCATATTTACATATCGCACACTGCTCGGTCTAACCGAATTTCTGGTGACACCACGAGTTTACCGCACCGGGTGAAACCAAGCCTAGCTACGCCACTGGGGGTGACACCAACTCTAGCTACGCAACTACCTATTCATATTAATTTGAAACATTGACATGACATGGAAAGTTTGTTTCGTTTGTGGCAACGACAACATTTTTTTTTTTTAATTCCAAAAAATAATTCACCACTTTTCATAAATTCTTCCATTTTCTGCTTCTTTATGTGAAATAGTGTGACACGGTGTGACACTATATTGGCCATTTTTCCCATTCAAAATTTGTAAGAGCTTGACCTCTATCGAATTTTTTTTCAACTCTTGATACTTACAAAATTAAAATGTTCTTTACAAATGGTGATACACTTTTGGAGACCAAAATTTCTTATAAGAAATAAGTGTAACCTACCCAACCCCCTTTTAATTAAAATAATAATAATAAAACTTGTGGGGAAACAGTGTGCCGGTGGCATACCTTGGCCTTGACAAAATGCCGCCCGGTGCAAGCACCCAAAATTGCGCACCCTATAGGCCTTTATTGTTTTGTATAGACCCCAAAATGCCGCCGTGGCGGTCGCTCCCTTCGCGTTCCCCTAGGTACGCTACAACCGTATGCAACGAAGTGAATCCTATTCAGTGATTTGTTCAAAAGGTCTATTCATTTAACTTCACTTTCACGAATTATGACTAAATTTGCTAAATAAATAAAAGGAGCACGATTTTTTTAAAAAAGATGATTATCTGATGATAATATTTAACAATAATCATGCATGAAATGTCACTGAAAATGTAATCTTAAAAAACTATAGAGTTGTTAATAAAATTATAACAATGACATTTTTTTTTAAAATGTATATTTTTCAACTCATAATTAATGTTAAAATTCGTGTTTTTATTCATAAAATAATTCAATGTATATTTTATTTCTTCAGTTTTCAGTCCACATTTTTTGTTATATTCAAGAACAGATAATTAGAAACAGCTGATTATCAAATAAATTCAGAGTTATGCTAGCTCTTTGTTGTCATTTCCCCTTTTTCACAACTGGAAAAAGACCTTTGCTTTTAAAAGTTTATTTAATATACACAGCTAAGTTATCAAATATCAAAAGATGTATAGATAACCACTTATGTATCAGAAGCCTTCGGGCAACATATATTTGGCGTCATGCCGAACAAAAGGCGTTCCTATGGCTATAGGTCAAGAAGAGATCGAACTGAAGTCAGTTGCTGCATTAAATACTTGATGTTTGGTTTCAATGTTCTTTTCTGGGTAAGAATTAACAAAAATAAATTAATGTAAATAATTTTAAAACATGCCAGATAATGGTTACTTTATATAAATTAAAAATCATTATACTTATTTGATGGATATGCCTACAAGTACTACATAATATTAATATAATACTTTTACTTTTAAAGCAGGCTAATTATTAACTGTTTTTTGATTGTCAATTTTGTCTGTGACCAAGCATATGCCTTATCTTATGCCTATATTTATATTATGTTATGCCCAAGCCAGTGGTTCCTAATCTTTTTGACTTGGGGATCATTTTTAAAACAGATTTGCTAATTTAATTTACACTTTACGTGCCACCCTGAGTTTGTGTGTATGAGTATGAGTATACTCCCCTTTGTTTATTCACAAATTTTTACCAGAGTTAAATATTCTCTTTTTTTTAAAAAAATACTTATATGCTGAATGCATTTAATTTTTAATTAATATTTCAAGGCGAGGCTTTTAATACTAGTCACTTTGAAAACAAGGTTGCTTGCCTGAGTTAGATCACTTGATAAATGGATTTTGAATTAATTGATATGCTTTGGATTTTATTTGCGGTGAAAAGCATGTAAAATTTTATTCGATGTTACTGTAAGTTGGTGTTTCATTATTTTAAATATTTTAAAATGATTTTAATCTTTTTATTAAATTTTAAGATTTTCTCACTACATAGTGTAAATTGTGACACATGAAAACATGGTTTTAGTTTTAGATTTTTTTTTTTAAGGTTTATTTTTGAGTTAGGAGACTGAATTAATGATTGAAGATTTACATTCAAGTTACAGACGCTAGTTATAGGTTTGAAGATTTACGCATTAGTACTTTACACTGATTTTTGTGCTGGGGACATTTTTAAATGTGTTGATTTTTTAAATTTTGCAATTAAATTTTCTTTAATATGATAATTTTATGCAACACAATTTTCAAAAAGTGTCTTTTTAAAAATGTTTTTCTTTAAAAAAATAACCCATTCTCATTATTTTCTTTCATTTGTCTCGATAAGTAGCTAAAACACATTCTCTCCCCCACACCCCCAACTTTAGCCCCCATTTTTTGGACAACTTTTTTTTTTAAACTGCTGCCTATTTTTTACCATAACAAGTTAGATATCATGGCATCAAATATGGTGGGCATGTAAAAAACGTAATGCAAAAACAAAGGAAAAAATGTGGTACAGATAGCATAAATTTACCCATAAATTTTTATGTTGGAGCTCCTTACACTAAGCCTACCTTATGTTTTACTAAATTCATTCAAGTTTTATGTATTAATTTTATTTGCTGAACCACTGGCCTAGGTTATATAATACCAAATTAATTATTAGATTAACTTTATTAAATTTAAATAAAATATAACAAATTCCAATTACCCAAGTGCATGACCCATTATCCAATGTCATAAAGTAAGTTTTTTATAATTTAAATATTTATTATTTACATTGGGTTAAAATTAAATAGGCCAATTGATATTAAATTAATATAATGTAGACCTATTTAAACTTTGTCACACATCTAAGGTGCGTCAAGAATTTGTGATGAGGTTGTCAATTTTGTGACAAATTTTTGACAATGGGGCGAGTGGGGGAGGATTGCTGCAAATAGGCCTAAACAGCATGCAATCATTAATTGATGACCCCTTATAGTAAATTTAAAATGGTAGTTTAAGAAATAAAATTGTATCTCAGAGAATTCAAAATATATCTGTTCTCAGATGGATCTAGTAGGTTCTGCATTACACCGCTTTACATTCTAAAATATTTTTAAAAAATGGTTAAATGCAAAGAATGGATGCCATGTTTTTCCCCATGGCCAGAAATCTTGGTTGACACGAGCAGTTAATTCTGTCACTAAACATAACTAAATGTATCCCTAAACCTAACCTCAACCCTAAATGTATCCCTAAACCTAACCTGAACCCTAATTCACAGGAACTTTGATAAACACGCAAATGACATCATGGCATCCATTCTTTGCATTGACCAAAATTTTGTTTATATAATTTGTTTCCTAGCCTGTTTTATTAATGTAATAAATTTAATGATAATATGGAGAGAAAAAAACTCACCAATTTTAAAAAACTGGAGGGTATTCAGGAGCTTAGGTTGAATACCCTTACGAAAGAAGGAAAAAAAACAAACAAAAAAAAAACTCTTCTTGTCACCTTTTTGGTTGGCCAAATCTTAAATGAAGTTTGGTAAGGAAATCAACAGGATATAAAATTCTATATGGGTATCTTTATTTGATATATACAATTTAAAAAATCAGTAATACAGTCATATAGTGAAAATGAAACCATATATAGTGAGGGATGACATAAGATAAAAGCAACAGTTGAGGCGGCTATACTCGACACATTTGTGTCTATTGCCTCCTGTCTTCCAACCCCAAGTTCATAACACCATCGCTGAGTAGCCCTTGCAACCAGTGAAGCCCTTGAAAACCATGTACAGTAACATTGTGAACCCCTCTGAAACATAGGAGCCAGAATGATCTATTCATTGATCGTGGGCCCTCAAAATAAAGAAGACAAAGACAGTATATGCAAATGAATTTTTTAAAGTTTTTTTTTTTTCATTTTAACGTTAAATGTTACAGTTCTGCTTTTCATTTAAATGTTACATGTTACAGTCCTACTTTTTGTTTCAATGTTACATGTTATAGTACTGCTGTTTTTTAAACTGCAGGGGAAACTGTTGATTATATGCATATCTAGGCAGTGTCAAGGGGTAGGGGCCGAGGCGTAGCAAGGGGGCCCCGGGCGCCAGCTAGTTAGGGGCGCCAAAATGTGCTTTAATATTATTTTATTGATGAAAATAATGGGTTTGAGAGTTGAAAAAAAGAAAAAGGGGCGCTTTAAAATGGATCTTGTCCCCGGGCGCCAAACACCCTCGCTACGCCTCTGGGTAGGGGGAATGATGGTGACATTTTCTTTGGCTTCTG